TAAACAAATTTTCAAGGTAGTAGACCAGGAAGGCACCTGATCCTCAAAAATAAATTTGTTTTTGGGACCTCTATTGTGAAAAGTTTTTTTCCACTGGAAAAAATGCACATCGAATCTCCCTTTGCTTAGCTCCTGAGGGGGGCTTCTCTTGAGCTGAAGATCTGAGGCTGCAAAGCAAAAGGATTGCTGAGAACAATTACAAAGCACCTGAGAAAGGAAGCTGAATACAATCTATGAAAGGAAAATTAATACTACAATCACTTACAAAAGATCCCTCACCAGGAATCCAGATTTGTTTTGGTGATAGTTTATTATAGAGGTCCCCCTGTTTGTTTGAGGGGGGGGGGACCCCCCTTTACTAATCAGGATCCAACATTATGATGAGTGGTGTATGATGAGTGGTGTATGATGAGTGGTGGTTGAACAGCTGTTGAATGTCCGCAACACGGAAGTTTTGCACACTAAACTTCCTTTGATCATTATTTATCTATCTCTACTGTCCTGTGCACCTAACCTTAGAAGCACACCGCCTTCTCAAGTACTCATGTGTAGTTGCACGCATACAGCATCTGGCTTTTGAGAAATTCCTGTCATGCAAAGCTCATCCACTGATCACGGAAAAACCTGTCGTAGCCGCGTAGCCCTGCGGAAAAACCGAGCGGTAAGCCGGCTCGGCTCACTGACCTGCTGCTGCTGCAGAATGTGGACGAATAAGGCACCAATCTCTTGTTGGATCGAGGTCAGCAAACGCAAGGTCCTGGAACATTGGAGGTCACCCGGTCTCGAAACACTACAAACACCGCAGTGGAAACACCTCTATAACTGCATTCTGCCAGGCCAGGCCATAACTAATCATTGAATAGCGTGATCTCCTATTAAGTGAGGACCTCAATCAAAAGTTCCAATCGTTGCTGCTTGGAGACCTCACATTCCTCAATCGTCCCACATCCCACGTCATAGAGCCTGGGACTTCCCTCATAAGTAAGAGAGAGAGAGAGAGGGAGAGAGATGTAAGTTACATGACCTCTACCATACACCTTCCTTCTTCCGTGCACCTCACAATTTACACCCCTGCTTGAAATCTCACCCGTTTCCAATCTTTTCTCCCATGTTTCATTCGATCGACTCTGATTTGCAACCAAACCAACGAAGCAGGTCTCCAGGAGGCAACAGTTGTGGCGATCTCATCGTCATTGAAGAGCTGGTTCAGCAGCTCCTTTTCTAGCTTGGTCAAGTTCAGTGCACTCATCCTTGAACAACTACACCCAGCAAAAAGGAACAAAACTGCTGGAAAGATTTGCTCCTATTTTTGTGCCATCCTCGAATCAATGGAGGAAAAGCGTCAATTGCGCACAGTTACGTAAGCTTGTGAAAATGAAGCAAGCCAAGTAAACTTACAAGTTTTATTAAGTTTGTAAGTATAAAGTATAAAGCATAAAGTTGTTGTGATCTTCACGTTCACTTAAAATATCTTGAAATGTTCTTAGGCCCTTCCTTGCCTTGGAAAACTCTCGAGCGCTGAACTGCACTTGAGCGTTCTGCATGGTCTGCGACACCACCTAGCTTGTTAGGAAACCACAGCGGCATCTGTTCCAAATGGAGCGTGCAACTGCGCCAATCTGTTCCAAGCCTGAATAGTGGTTTGCAACGGTTCCAATCTGTTGCACGGTCCATGTGATTAGTATCCATGGGGACACTATACGGACACGGACACATGGAAGACGTGGGAAAGATCGGGCAACAATAGGATGCCGGGAATCCTTCTCTCTGGGAATCGCCAAAACATCATCTTCGCCGCACCTCCCCTCATTGTTGCCTCAACGTACACTTGTTGGTCGTTTGAGCATACTGATAAGCGTTTTAAGGTAGAAAAGTAAATCCCAAATGTGTTGGACACATTTGGAAACCATGAAACTCTTCCTCTCTACCTTTCTATTGGGGCCCCCCCAATTCCTCGTTTTGCCTTGACTATCTCACTGTGCACGGAGTTCTTCCACTGTACATCCACTCGTCCCCCACACCCCGCGGAATGGACCTCCGCACTTTCTTGCGCCGCTTGGGAGCGCAGCATCGTCCTGTGGAGATCGTCAGTGGTTGGCTCGTTGAGTCAGTCTGTGTGAATACTTCTTCAACTGAGAAGTAGCTCTGGCTGTTCAAAACCATTCCAAACGGGCCATGAGTGCATGGATGGCTTCTCTTTAACCTTGGTGTATCAAAGGAACGGATATCTCGGGTGCGTCTTCTTTTTTGGGGCCTATCCGAAGTTTGCAGATTGGAATTCATCAGGCTTCGGCGGACCTCATGGGCAGTTTCGCTGGTCTTTCTGGCGCATCAAGATGTCAAGAAGCTGGTGGATAAGCAGGCAAAACAACTGAACAAATATGGAAGCAACTTGGAGCGCTCTTGACCCACCCACAGGCAAGTCATTTATTTGGAACGAAAAACACTCATCCCTACTGCTTGAAACAACCACTGAGCAGGATTGACTAATTACAAACTGTCTGCCTAAATCCCAATGTCCTATAAATTCATAAAAGCATTAAACCCGAATTGTCCAATGTTATAATCCCTGAAATGTCCCCCCTGGTGGTTCTCATGGTTGAAGCAAAAGCCGTTATGACAGAGTGACAGGGGTGGTTGGGAAAGAAGACACACCGCTCGACGCTCGACGTGAGGACATTTCAAGCCGAAAGACGGTTGTCGAAGGCTGGAACATCAACCTAACTGGAAAAGATTGGAAAAGGTATGTCAGTGATCCTGTAACAATCTGTATGATGGACTCCCAACACTGGCATCAGTGTGACATGCGCCCACGAACACGTCTCCAGTTGATGATCACATAGCCGATGCCCAGGGCTAATGCTCCCCCACCTTTGCAATGGGAGATGTACATCGAGAGGACGATACACACCGGTCGGTGTGGGCCTTTACAAAAGCTAACATCTGCCAGCATCTGCCCACATATCCAGGCAAAGCTGAGGTGGACGACCGATTTTCTCACCGGAGGGGAGGTAGGAAGTGGCAACAAGAATGGGACTGGAATGGCTTTAGACACATGTTGTCAGCAACTTATGACAATGGTGGGCGACGGACTTCCACGGATTGATCACCAAATAAAAAGAAATGTCACCATTCCAAGTGCCAGGCCAATCGTGAGGAAGGTGTAGGACAGTTGCACATTCCGGTAGATCTGGCGTGAAACAGCACTCCATCTCTCAGAGACTGGGGCTGGAAGGCTACCGTGGCCTGGAATTGCGATTTTAGCAATTGTGATGCTCCATTTAAAGTCTTCTGCTCTGCCCTGAAATATGTGAAGCTGGGTCCTGGAGGCCACTTGGATCAACTAAAACGAGAATTGGAAACACATTGGGACAGGCTGAAGGGGACTGCTTCTCTTTTTCTACATCGGTAAGCCAACATGAAGCAAACGTTATCAATAATACAGCTACGTATAATTAGCCCTGTGTCATGGAGGGTGCATCAACGATCATCAACGCGCATAGGTCCGATAGGGGTACGAGGCTCATGCAAAGGAGAAATCGCGATAGAAGGCTGTTTGTATTTTCTGGGCTCAGGGTTGGATGCCAATGAAGGATCATACACGATGTTCTGAAAATGGTGGATTCATCCCCATACAAGGAATATGGAGCACGACATTTGGGATCTATGTTGTTCGTCTCCTGAGGATAGCAAAGCTCGCTCCCAAAGCTCGCTTTCTGCTGCTCAACTGTACCAGCCATGTGAAAATAATCTGAGTTGATGAGGGCAATCATCAAATCTCGGAGCCAGTTCTCTTTCCAATCCATCAGACCGGCAGGAACTGTTCCACCGGTTCGACCGTGACGTGTTTCTTTGTTCGGCGATCTTGTTGTTTGATGCAAGCGCTGGCGATGCAAGCGGGGGCGCGCAATCACCCCGTTGTTGGTTGAATCATGTTGAATCATGTGTTTTCTTTAATTGCCAAATGGCCAAACAAGGGAGCCATGCCCGGGTTACTTGCTTGATTTTGAGGGGTCGACGTGAATCCATCCGTGTGTGACTTGCGCATACTTGCCGAACCCAGAATCCAAACATGCGTACGGCTTTCTGAACACCCTCACCTTCGACAGGCGCTCCATCTGCGTGTGCATTTGCCGCGACGAGGTGTCGTAGAGCTCCCGGAGGTGAGGGTGCCCAGTGCTGCTGCCGGACGCGCCCGCGCCAGGCGCGCTGCTGGCGCTGCTGGTGCTGTTGGTACCCGATCCAGAGGGCTTGGGATCCTCCTTTTTGAGAGGCCTCAGCTCAAAGACAAAGAGGCAGCAAGAAGGCTGCGAGTGGTAGTTCTTACAACGATGGCTTTGCACTGTTTTCTACCCGCATGGGGACAGGGAAAGTGAAACAAATCTCCTAAGGCCTACAGTATGCAATATGCAAGCGAGGCCTACTTTCGCAGGGCGTCTTCCGCTGTTCCACACTGAGGTGTCCAAGTCTGACCAATCGAGCCCTGAACCTCTCGCTGCTGGCACTGCCGCTGGCGCCCGATCCGGCGGGCTTGGGATCCTCCTTTTTGGGCGGCCTCGGTTTGAAAACAGGCACTCAACTGAAAATTGGAGCAACAGTCGGGGTTTCGCGCAGCAGCAGCAGCAGCAGCAGCACCAAAGTTTGGTGCCTTGTTTTATCTTGTTCTGACTGATGTGATAGGGAATGAAGCCCGTTGTCAAAAGAATGGAACGTTCTTCTTCGCCAGTGGTATTGGTGGTTGCCTCTGTGATGCAAAACCAAAATTGGTACTTCTGGCAAAGCGGCTGAAACAATTCCAAGTTCCTGACGTGTCAACTTTTGTGCAGTCTGGCTTGCCTTTTGAGGTCGAGTTAATATACATTCATGGATGTATGGAGTTCTGAAGTAAAACAACGGTCTCAACTAAAAAAAACACTTGCTGATAATGCTGGCGACGCGTGTTTAGTGATTGTCACTCGAGATATATACTACACTATTACTACACACAATTCAGTTTGGATTTATGCTTCCGAGAAATTTGCCGAGAATAGCACAACACCCCATGTCAAGTGTTGAAACAGGCGATCCACTCAGAAGATGCTCTGCTCACAAACTATAAGACTTCCTGTGGCCCTGTCCTCGTACACCTCATCTCGACCAAAAGTGCTACGTGGCCTCCCACAACCTCCCACACCAAAACTACTGGGACGCCCGGACTGCGACGCATTGGATCGCCAGCACCTCCGAATCCGCGTCAAGATGGGGCCGGGGGCAACCCCATTGGCCTTGAGGTTGTTTCACATCGGCCGACAGACATGTCAATTGGCCAGTCTAACAGGTTGTTTTGGAAGAATTTCTCATTTAGAAACATGACCACATGTTTATTCTGTGGGATTGTTTGCACCATGTTATCCTTGATTCTTGGGATAACCATGTGGGTGAAATGTGGGCGGATCACAAAACATAACTTACCTTGGATTCATGCCGGCGAAACTGCACTTTGAGGTTTACAAAGACCTGGGCCTATCTACGAGGTTCACCCGTGCGTGTTGCGAGCTTTCGCACGATACTTCTCCCAAATTCTGAAACGAGCCACAGGTCCTCCCGTGTCCGAAATCCCCCGTGCTGACTATATAATCAGTCTCGTTCACCCATCACCTCTACAGCCGAGGCCCATCTCCAATCCCCCACAGAAAAGGGACAACCTGCGCTTGCGCGCCATCCAAAAATCTGACGAAAGCAAGCTGCGCATCATGGGTGTTCATGGGAAAAAAGCCCGTGTTTCCCATTGTGTTTCCCACCATTGGGCCGCCGGACACCAACAGGTGCCGCTCGGAGGGCAGAGGCCTGAGTCGGTCTGAGATGGTCGATAGTACTCCACGTCTGAGCGTCACCTGGTCTCCCCACGGGTGTTTTGTGTAAACATCATCGCCATGGTCTCCTCGTAAGGACGAACATCGCTCAAGAATCTGAGCACCATCTGAAAACATGAGATACCCACTGAGACACCCCTCCTACCAGGGAGAACAAACACTCTTTTGACCATACCCTAAAAAGTCGGTCCATCTCTCTCTCTCTCTCTCTCAGACTCAACGAACCCTTACCTTAGATTTCTTGGCTCATCCTATGCTCCTTGAGCACATGTGACACTTAAGATGTCCTCATCAGATTTCGACAAGCGAATCAAAGGGGCAGAAAGTATACCTTCGGAACAACAACTTGAAAAACTACACATGAATTTCCTCCAATATAGCCACTAAAAATCGGCAGACTTTGGGCAGGGGGTCCATATTGATCGTGTGCTTTTCCGCAGCTGCATGGCTTGCGGCTGGCGTTTTGATTGAGCAGTGCACTGCGATGCGCCCCATGGCCCGAAAACGTCAGAGCATCTGACTGGCGCCCCAGAATCCATCTCTGTCCTGGCGGACGATCTGGCACCCCCGGTGGGGTCCATGAAAGGACGCACCCTGCGGGGCCCCTCCGGGTCCCTCAAGCTGTGACTTTCGAGTTTCCCAAGCTTGTTTGCCTGCAATCCTTCACTTGAGACTTGAACAAAATCAATCTGGAAATCTGAGTTTGCCAGGTCAAACAGCATGCCGTCGTAAATACCCCCTCTTGTGAAGTAAGATCGCAAATAGCTCTGACTGATATGGACGGCAGTCGACTTAGCGATTTCCCGAAGCCTTGGACCTGCCACCATACCCAAGGCCTTACACCTTTCGTCCTTTTCTTTTTGTCTGTGTAATAGCGACGGCCTCCCACCTACTAGCGATGGCCTCCCTCCTAATAGCGATGGCGAAGAAGTAGGGGTTCTTATGCCCACTCTGGATCTTCCGCTGCCTCGGGGTGCTTGTAGCACACGCGGCCCAAGCTGTGCGATCGCTCGCACGCTCAAGCGCCGAGTCATCCGCAGTCGCGCCAGTTGTACAGAGGGTGTGTGGAGAAACCACACCAGTGACAGTGAAGTTGCTGAATCATACTGAATCCTATGAAATCCTGTGTTTGGGGAATGCGAGCAAAAAGACAACATGTCAATGTCAATAGGTTTGAAGTGAAGTAAAAACAGAAGCACATTGAATGTGACATGTACTCTGGGTTGGGTGGCCAAAAGAGGTACCAAAAAAACAAGACTGACAGGGACTCCCTATGAGCCCAGATCTTTGCATGTCTAGATCTTGGGATGCTGTATCATCCGTCTGTCCCTTGTTTGCAGGCTTGTGTGCGGCTCTCTTCTTTGAGTTTTCTTTCATGACTTTGGCAGGTCGGTTCGACGACCTACACACCAAACCGTTCGATCAGACGACGGCGGGCATCACAACAAGTATGTCAGCATCTCAGAGACAGGCTGCTATCAAGTCATGGCCAGTCATGGCCATTTAGAAGTGTGAAATCATCCGAAATGCACACCATGTTGAAAGGTTCAGAAGGCAGCGGCGGTAGCTTCTGTTTGGAGACCATTGAAGGTTTTGTGGACTTAGGACAACATGTTTGACATCACCATCTAGCTGACCCAGCCGATTCCAACTCCGACCCATGAAGAGATCTACCAATCGGAAGGGCTTACTGGACGCCCGTTGACCCAAAGATGGCTGCACAGCTCCCATGTGATTTCAGGTTGTTATTTGGTCCAAGAGCTGTATTCAGTTCAATCCCGGGAGCCGAAGAAAGCCAGTCGAGTCCAATCTCGCTTGTCTCTGGAACATCGGCGATCTGAGCGATTCAAGCAAAATATGGTTCCATATCCTGAACAAAGGACTCCTGAACCTGCATCCATTCGAGCACCTCCCCTATTGACCACGGACGATTGAACAAGTACGTGCAACAAAAATCCAAACTGCTCTGTGATCCAAGGTCGGAAGCTTCCCACTGCCAGGAGTTCTTGCTGGCACTAAAAGTACACACCTGTTTATTTGGCTGTTGATGTTCAAGTCCAACATGGAAGATCGCTCGCACGCAAGTTGCCTGAGCTTCCTAGCTCTCCTATCTGTCGCCACATCGATGCGGCCCGGTACATCTCCTCGGCCTTTTTTCGTCGTTACCCTCACAGGAACCACCTGGGCGAGGAAGCGACTAACCCGCGTTCCTTTCGTTCTGAGCAGCAAATGCAGGGCAAGCTGAGACAGCGGTGTGTCATTTTTGCCCAAATGACTCATTGGAAAAGAATCCTGTTCTACCCTATGGATAAAAAGAGCATACAACACATAAGATCATATAACGTATGTATGTACGTATGTATGTATGTATTTTTTTTTCTGAAGGGTGTGCTGCTCATGCTCTTTGGCCTCTCAACTAGGCTCAGACGGGTCAGAAGTAGTCCACAGTGATGGAGGGGTCTTCTCCGTCATGGCCTTCATGGCCAGGGCTTGTTGCCTCTGGCGTGGCATGGTTCGGCGGTCTGCTCAAGGGATCGTGTGGGCTGGGTGTCATGGCCTGTTCTGGCATGCTTGCCAGGGATCCCTGAGCTTGCTGATCCAGCTTTGTGGGAAAGTGTAGCCGCCTTGGAGTCGGTCCTGAACCCTTGAGGTTGGGCTCTGGTGGATCAGCAGGCTGCTGATGCTGCAGCCGGGGTTTCTTGGTAGTAGGTGCCACTGCCTGTGTTGCATGCTGGCTCAGTTGGCTGCTGCCACTTGCCGAGTCCTCTGGGCTCTTTGGTGATGCTTGTGTTGCTTGCCGGCGGAAAAACTCTTCCAGGGGTGGGGAGCCCGTGCTACCTGCGCCTTTGCAGGGCTTTTTGAAGGCAGTGGTGAGGATGAGTCTTTGGTGAGCATCCAAATGCAGACTCAAGCCACATTGTGCGCAATTGACTTTGTTGCCCTTTTGCCAAAGGACGTGGCTGCTGTGTCCTTCATGGGTAGCTGTGTAGGGCTGGTCCAAACATTGTCCGTGGACGAAAGCCTGGAACAGCTGTTCATTGCTCCTCTTGTGGACATTGGCTCCACACTTGACACAGCGCAGATAGCCTGTGGTCTCATCAAACTCATGCTGCTGCTGAGGTGGTACTTGGTCTCTCTGCTGTTGCAGAAGCTGCTTGATGACCTGTTGCCTGGTCTGTTTTTTGGGCAGCGGTTGATGAGGTCTTTCTGGTTCAGGCATCTGTGCCTCAATGCTGAGCTGTGGACATTCTGCATGAAGGTGCTCTTCTATGGCCTGGACCGTGAGGGCTTGATGCACTCTGACTCCACAGGCCCCACATTGGTATCCACTTCTGTGTGGCATCCACCGGTGAGATGGTGCCTGCCAAGGGTGTTTGCACTGTGCAATGAGCTGTTTTTTGTATTGCTTCGTGCGCTTGCCTTGGTGTCGGTTCTGCTTTTGGTGGATGTAGTGATCTTTGCTGTTGAAGATCGCTGCCAATCTGTTGATTGCGTGTGTATAGATGAGTTTGTCGCCCTCATCTAACACCTGCTGCCATTCTGTGCTCCTTCTATGCTGGAAGGTCTTGGCCCGTTCCCATGCGGCTAAGGCTGCATCACGTTGTCGTCGTCGAAGCTGCGGCTCACTGCCTGGTGCTTGTGGAGACTTGGTGTTTCTGGCCACATAGAGCACGGTGACTCGTTGAAAGTCTTGCGCGGTGATCTGCTCAAGCTGGTCCAGGAAGGGTCCTCTGTGTTTTGGCTGGGTCCATGTATGTATGTATGTATGTATGTATGTATGTATTTTTTTTCTTCCTAGAGTTGCGCTGCATGGTCTTTGCCGGTCTTCTAGGCGTGTTGCCTCAGGTGCGGTCCATTGCCTCAGTCGGCCAGGTTTTAGAAGTAGTCCACTGTCATCTCCGTGGTGTCTTCTCCCGGTGGGTCGGTTTCATTGTCCTCTGCTTCTCCTGGGGCGGACGCCGCTTGGGTGAACCGAGCCGGTGGTGACAGGCCGGGCTGGTTGGTCGTGCCAGTCTGTGGAGAAGCTGGCGCTGGCTGGGGTTCATGGCCGGTTGGTTTGACCTCTGGAGGGCCTCCAACTTGTGTGCCTTGACAGGTCGAGGCTTGCGTGCTAAAAAGCTGGAGCAAGTTCGGTGACCTTTGTGTGTTACCTTGGCATTCCTTGGAAAGCGCCTTGGTCAAAAACCACCCGGTCGTCGGCATCCAGGTGACTTTGTGCGCCACAGTTGAGGCATTTGATGCCTTTGCCCTTTTGCCAGAGAGCATGGCTGTTGTGGCCGCTATGGGCTTTGGCGTAGCTTTCATCGATGCGCCTGCTTTGGATGAAAGCCTGGAAATTTTCCTCATTGGTTCGTTTGTGGACTGAGAGGCTGCATTTGGTGCACTTGAGGTACCCTGTGGTCTCCTGGAAGGAGTGTTCGTCGGCCGCTTGGGGATGTTGCTGTTGCACTTCAATGGCCAACTGGTTTGTCAGGCCGGAGGTCTGGTTCTGGACCCTCATGGGTCAGGAGTTCACAGTCTTGTTGGAGGTGGTTCTCTATGACCTCAACCGTGAGGGCCTGATGCACTCGAGTGTGGCAGGTTTGGCATTGGTAGCCACTCCGATGCCG